CCAGCCTGTGCCCCTTTAAGGGGTCCGGGGCCGGGAGGGGGGCAGATGAGTTTCCCTGGTGCTGGCCAGAGTGGCCACCAGGGAAACCTGGGGAGGGCTAGCCTCCCACTAGTTCGAATTAAGGGTCTACACAGCCCTTAATTCGAACTAGTAAGTTCGAACTAGGCTTAATCCTCGTGGAATGAGGATTACCTAGTTCGAACTAAGTGCTCCGTTAGTTCGAATTAAATTCGAACTAGTGGAGCGCTAGTGTCCGTTAGTTCGAACTAACTTTGTAGTGTAGACATACCCGGTGAAATCTGGTCCTGGATATCATTATTGCACCTTCACTACTTATACAGTGTTTATAAGGGTGCTGAAATCAAGCCCTGAGCAATGCTATTTCAGAAAGTTTACTTGTTTCTAAGAAGAGTTCTGCTGGGTTTGCAGAAAAAAAAGGTCAGACAATAAAAAAGAGCGTTAGGTTCTAGAAGAAATGCTCAGAGGAGAGGAGTGTTTAGCTTTTCCTTACCAGTTGTGTTCATCTTCATCATGTTCTCTTTCAGCACTCAGACCACACTGTCTCATTTTTTCTAAGTCTCTCTCAAAATACGTGATATTTTTTAAAGACTGGTACTTCTGAGAGCTCTTCTCTTCCCGCCTCCTACAAATAAATGTTAACAAATTAAAATGGTATTTTTAAAAATTAAAATTCTGGTTGCACGTTAATTGGGAAGATACCTAGGATAGTGTAAAGCAATGAAAAGAATAAACAATGTTCAGTCCATTGATCCACAAAATAGTGTATTTTGCATTCTGATAGTGATTGACAAACAATTAATTAAACCCTCTATCGATTTAATGAGTTGACTAAATCATGCACCTATGGATTACGTCACCTGACACTGAAATGCAGCTTTAAAGTATCTGTTGTTTAAGAGCAAATCACAATACTACCTGGCTCAGGACAGGAAGGAAGCATACTATTTTAATGATCTGAAGCACTATGGAGAACAGGCAACATGCAATTACCTAAGTTGGTATTTTGGCTTGAACACCATATTAACATGCTATGTCCTGAAAAACAGCACCAGGCTGTGATGACCACAAGTAGTCAGCACCTCTACTTCTCCTCCCATCTATAGCCAGCCTCCCCAGTAGCACCATCTCCCAGTAAGATCACAATGGGACACTGGTTCAGGGTGGACTCAGCCCATTGTGTACTGAATTACAATCACTAGTTCCTGTCATATCTAGGTGGTCTTCAACAGTGATCAATCCTGTTACATTTGTGAGATTCTGTGAGTTTGTAGCAAAGGTGAAATGATTTCAGGTTTGATAAGGTCTGGTTGTTTGTTGTTTTACCCTGAAAGATCCAGGAATTGAGAACACTGCATTTCAGTTATCTGGCTAATTGTGTAGTCGATACAATTTGTATCGACTACACAATTAATCGATAAAGGCCGCTCTGCAGAACTGCAGCAGGGGTAGCTCCAGGAGCTGGCTTGAGCCGGGACTGAGCTGCAGCTCTGCATTTTAAATGTAGTAAGAACTGCTGGGCTCTTACTACATTTGCAATGCAGAGGCGCAGCATCCTGGAGAAGCACAAGCTGGCACTGCTTGGTCGCAGCTTGTGCGCAGCCCGTTTCTGGCAGCCGGCCCTGTCTGCTGCGAACAGGGGCTGGC